CAACTTCCAAACAAATAAAGCACAGTGGGTTCAATATTCCCTAAAAAAAATTCGACTTGTTTTTGTCCATGGAGCAAATGGACCTAGTAATCTTCCCGGCGCGTTTCCTCGCCTATGCAGAAAAATTGTTTTTAACGTACGCGTTCAGTCATTTAGTTTAAGAGATTAAATTTCCCGTTGTAAAGTAACAGTACCTTAGCTTCATCGTTAAGCGCTGCTGCACTATGCTGGGACTATCTTCAAAGTTCAGGTTGTGCATCTTCGTACAGGTTCAAGGCATGCGTTCACGCGGAGGATTAGGGCTTAGGGTGCCGCCTTGTTACTCCCTAGCTCTCTGCTTTGACATAGTGCCTTGCCCTCCGGGGTTATATGGATGGATAGGGAAGTAAGTGTGTATTGGCTGGGAACGCCGAGATCCCAGAAGAGTCCTATTAGGGATCATTATGAGTTCATTGCGATGGCTCATCCGCTGAACGCTTGGTCATCGCATACGTTTTGGAAGTTTTTATCCTCTATTTTGTTTTACCATGGTTTAGTTTGTAATTTTACATCTGCTAGGCGAGGCTATGGTAATACAACTTCTGTAAAACAAAACAAAGGTGTACTTATGAATTAATTTCACTACAAATGTATATACATGTACTTAAAAAGTACTGTAAATAATCAGAACAAAGTTAAGTTCAAATTTGTATGAAAGGTTTTGTGAAGTCCAGTATCGACAAGCTTGGTGTGGGCATTTCTACACCACACAGGTGCCCAGTACTTTGCGGGAGCGTACACAGTTTAGGGGCTAGACGTTGTTATTGTACGCGATAATCCGCCGCAGCGATAACCCGCCGCCGCGAGAGGGCGCTATCACGACCAACCAATATCACCCACGACTCCGTCGGAACAACATCTAGGCCAGCTCGTACTGGTTGTGTAATGCGCTCGCACCTGTTTGGCCTAATTATGCAGCGCGCATTCAAACAAATTCATAGTAGTTCCAAAGCAAGCTCTTAAATGTCTTCCAGTAATGTGAAAGATGCAGCAATACGCTTGTGCAACTTCACGGTTCAGCTCTTTTGTTGGGTTGTGGTATGTGTGGGACTGAAAATGAACAGTTATTGCCTGCTGAAGTCGCGCATGCGCACTAGTTTCCCCCATTTTGCTGGGGGAGATTTTAGGAGTTGGCCTCGACGTTGTTCGGACTGGTTCTTCGGCGAAATTGGTTGGTCGTCATAGCGCCCACTCGCGGCGGCGGGCATTGGTGCAGCGGGTTATCATTATTTATCGTGAATTAAACCATATGTCTAGCTTCTATACTAAAGCGTACACATAGATGAAGATGTGCGGAGTGTTGTATAGCACTGGCTCCCCCAACTGGTTCTGTAGTTAAACGCTGTGAAGCGAGGGGCGGGTAATTTGCATCATCCTCGTCCCTAGTGCTTACTTTATTACCAACCTCGTTTCCAATAGTAAGCCCTGGACAGGAAACTTTCTTCCTGTATCCTGATTCGATACCGCAATTGGCTAGTAATGGATTTTTTTCGTGTACTTAGTGCTATTATTCACAACAATCATTCGTCCACGCCTTCTCGAAAATACTAATTTCCTTTCCAATTTGCTTATATTAATATGGGATATGATGCTGCTTGTTGTCTCGATAAGATCGTAACAGTTTAATTTAAAAATCGTGTTTTCGTAACTCACGCCGTGTTCGCGCTGCGACGAATTGACTCCTGTTTTTACCCCAGACACCGCATACAAAAACAAACGCTAATGTAACGCATATCCAGCTACCAGACTGTTCCTCATTTGCATACGTGTTCAAAAATCTTGCACATGCAAATGATCCAATACCAGGGTGAGAGAGCAGGTAGTGGGATTGGCGCATACTGTTCGACACCCTGGGGACGAGTTTGGGTTTGAATCTTATTATCCCAACAAATTAGAGTCGCTGACTCGAACAGAAACACGAAACCACTGTTTCTTCTTCCAGGGTTTATTTTTCCAATTTCTTCTAGCCTTGTCCAAGATCCAAAACATGTTATTTAGTTCCCAGGCGTTTCCCCAAATAACAACTTCCTCGGCCTCCTAAAGTGCCGGCCACCTGTGGCCTGACCCGGTGACCTCTGCCCGTTTGAATGATGCACATTTTATTTTTAGAACTTGGTACGTCGGACTGACTGGTTGTGTTAGTTAGCGCCCTCTATTGATTATTTTTGCTTCGTAAAAATATAGGCCCCTCAAAATAATTTCACCACAGTTCCAGAAAGGCGGCAAATAAGCCCCCCCCCCCCCCCCCCCCCGTCAGTCACTTTGTCACGAAGGCTCGAGAGATGTTGTCGATATGAGCGTGCTATCCAGCTTCACTCTCAGATCTGTTGGTGTTGCTTGGAAGGCGAGGCATCTGTTGTTGATAGATGATGTTGATGTTCGGCTCACGCTTGGCCTCCACGTTGTTCAAGTGGAAAGATGCAGACATGATCTTGCCTTCACTTAGTTTCAGTGCTAAAAGTAGGTGGTGGGAGTGTGCATGTCCTTGCTGAGTGCGTCCTCAGATGATAAGGTTCGATAGTCCGAATACGGTAGGGTTCGATAGTCCGAATTGACAATAAGGTTCGATAGTCCGAATTGAGAATAAGGTTCAATAGTCCGAATGGGCAATACGGTTCGTTAGTCTGACTGTTCGGACTATCGGACCTTACTGTTGATTCGGACTATCGGACCTTAGTGTTGTCGATTCGGACTATATCGGACCTTATTGTCGATTCGGACTATCGGACCTTATAGTCTTTTTCGGACTATCGGACCTTATTGTCAATTCGGAATAATGAACCTTCGGACTATCGAACCTTTTTTTCGTTTCGGACTATAAAACCTTCGGACTAATTAACCTTATTCTAAATTCGGACTACCGAACCTTCGGATAAATGAACCTTCGGACTAATGAACCTTCGGATTAATGAACCTTCGGACTATTGCATCAAATGTTCGGATTAACCAACCTTATTTCATTTGCGGACTCACGAACCCCCTCTTACGGACATTTTGTGCATTCGGACTATCGAACCGTCGGACTAAAGAAACTTCGGACTCTGGTGGCCCCCGGTATAAGGTAGGTTCAGGAGTAGGGGGCTAGGACAGAGCCTTGGGGGACGCCATTTTTCAGCTGGCGTGGTCTACTCAGTTGTCCATTGTAGGCTGTTCTACGGCACGCAAACCTAATTATTGTCCTTATTATTGTAATTTGTGAACAATAATTAATTAAAGGAACATTAATCAACGATTGTAGACTTGTCTCCAGTCTCCTAACCTGCCTTTTTTTTCTTTCAATAGTTATTCACATTCGAATGAGACATCTTTCTAAACAATTAGCCAATTGTTAGCTTGAAAAAAATCTTAAAATTCGAAATATTTGCGGCCCAACTACACTACTCAAAGGCCGGATCTGATTTTCTACGGAAGGGCAATAGGGAAAAAACATTTTGGGTTGCAGACAACCAACGCAGAAAAGTCAAGTTTTTTGGAATAAAACACTCAAAGTTCAGAATTCGTTGGGAAAAAGCTAAAATGTTGATGTAGAGCACAAACAGAGCATCTTCAAGACAGATGATTCGTTCCCGTTATAAGAAGCAAAGCACTCTTCATCTCTTGACAAGATTCTGAAAAAGCTGCTAACAGATACTACAATACAACTGATTTTATGGGACCAGTGGCGTTGTTGTACAGGATCAGAATAGGTCTATGATATAATGGAGGCTCTCAGGAACACGAGTTCGGTGCACTTATTGCGATGGCCTTCAATGCATACAGCAGCAAAAACTAGAAAGTACTCAGAGAGCGCAAACCTGTGCCAATGCTAAACAATTCCTCGCCATATTGCCAGTACACCCCCCCCCAAAAAAAACCCCGCATAAACGGTGAAGAATCCTTTGAACAAATGCTAGATCCAGACTTCCAAAATCTAATCGATTTGTACTTTTACCAAGGACCACCCCTACAAACATGTTCATGCTATTACTTGTCATAAATGGCATACTTTCGTACACATTGTCACTGTTTTGGGCCAATAAAGAGTATGACTGGATTGCTAAGGAATTTCTGTCATGATTAGTCATTATTTGAGCGACAGGTGCTCTGTATTTTTTGAGTTAGAAAACAAAGTATTTGGGGAGAATTTCTATTTTGGTTGAGTGTATTATTACATGACACGCTAAAGCGTTCTCCAGATAATTTATTTTGGGCGATTAAGCTTCTCCGTGTGCAGATGGCTTGGTTTATGTTAAAATGACGTCACAATTACGACCCGGACAGGCAGAAATGTCGAGAAAAGTAAGAGGTCAAATAAAACAACTCTACACATCCCCTGTCCATCCATCCTAATGTATGCTTCATCTTTAATATTGGGGTGGTTCAGCCTCGATCCATATGGTGGCAACGGTACCTGCCAAAGGACCGGATTTTCGTCTGTAAACACCGCTTGGACTGTCTTTTGATGATCGGCGTTCCAAGAATGGCCCGTTTTTGCGGCATATACAGAAAACTCCCACACGACCGTCAGGCTAGGCAAACTCACCACACGACCACAGCCACGGCAACATGCATTGTACGTACTCCACGTACGTCAGTGAAATATGACACCAGTGTCAACTTGGTCTGAGCGTGCGCACATAAATTATGATAATGGCCACCCGAAATCCCGCGGGAGAACGCTGTACGCACGCGTTTGTGACGTCACTACGCAAAAACGCGCACGAACTTTCCACGCGTAAAAACGAACCTCAAAGTCCTGCTTTATCATTCCAAAAATGTTTTTTTCCAGCAAATTTGCCTTGGCTGACCTAGTAGTCCATTAATTATTGTAATTTTTCCATTTTATGAGAACTGAGCTAATATTTTTTGCACTCGACCAGAAGTTGATCTCGTTCGCGTATTTCACGCTTTTCATGAGAAGCTTGCGTGTAATTGTATAGGGAACTTACCTGCGTGCTAAAGCATAGGCAGATTCACGAGTGTTTAAGCAGTTCCGTGAAATTTTTTATTGTTGCACCTGGTAGACTGTTAAATTACAAGATAATCCTTTTTTTATGAAAAGTAGCAATGGTATTCAGTAGACCTATTCCTCATTTAAATTATTATAATTATTTCATTGAATTTTCTCTTTCCATCCCTTTCTTTTTGAAAGCCCTAGTTTCAATTTCAGTTTTAAACACCGACCAGTTTTAGTGTTTTGCTTTTTGTTCTTTCAACAAAATAATTTGTAAAAAAAAACACTTTTATTCGAAAATCACTAGAATGAAAAATTAAATCCTTGCTGCAATCCTAATTTCGAATCCAATATAACAGCCGATGTTACTAGACCCAAGCATTTTTGTCTTATAACCATACTGCAATTTTTGTTCACTACATGTATACTGCAATATCAATTTAATCAGGAGATATTTTGTCTTAATAAACAATTAAAGTCTCTAGTTTCGCATTGGCTTGATGATACATGTACTTGGTTGTCAGCAGAAGCCATGTAATTCTATTCTAAGACTAAGTCGGTAAACTTACTTTTGATTTCTTCTGACTACTTCTGAGTACATTTGTTAATGGTTACATTTCTGTTTAATGCATGTCTAGTCTCCATTATTAAAATAATTAAAAATCTTTAAAGTATATTAAATAAAAGGATTTTTTTAATTCAGTTCAAGTCTGGCCATAGTTTTATTCTTCACAGAGTTCTTCATCATGTCTCGTAATGTAGATTCCAAGGTCTGCATCGTCATCAGAAGGAACGACAATCAAAACATCTCCATTTACAGCTGCAAAAAAAATGGAAAAGGAAATAAAGCAAGATTAAAAAATGCAAAACGCAACATTAAAAAGTCTAAAAAATATATGACACAAAAATATATTGGAAGAAGGAATAGCCAAGTCATAATCACAAAATTTAATTTGAAATTGAACCAGTTTTCATATTTAATGCACATAACCAAATCCCTGTTTACCCGCATATTACACCCAAAACTCGACTCCAAAGCGGTGCCTGTCACAAGCGATGTTTGTGGTGGGGTTTCGAGCTCAAATTCCCGGCACGGGTGGCCAGCGACGACCGCGTGATGCCGCCGAATGGTGTCAGATTTCTTCCCACGAGCATGACGAGTGCGGGCATGCAATGCCTGCCATGTCCTTTATAACGTGGTGTGAATGGAGATCGAAGGTTTCTTGACTTCGACGAGACATAAGCAGTACAGAATCTTCGTTTTTGCTGCAAGATTCAGCATTTTGGAACTCGTTAAGCAGCTTCCCAGTGTGCATTTCTTGATGCTCAACGCGTGTCACATGCGTTTTCAAGCCGAAATGTCGCCAAAAATGTGATATTCAAGGACGAAAATTCACGGAAAAAAAAATATTAGCTCGGTTCCCACATAGAAAACAATGAAGATTACACCCTCGTTCACTACTTTTCAGAAGTTAAAATTCCGTAAAAAAAACACTTTTAGAAATATGCCCTTTTTTGATGAGATATCAAGAAAAAAGTTAAATTTTCATGCAAAATCATCCCAAAATTCAAACTTGGATAAAATTAGTTTACAAAATGATATTTTCATAATTTAAAAAGTATTTATCATTTTGATGAAGCCTCCTTACCAACCGGGGTGCTTAGAAACCGTCAGAGGCGATGTCATCGCTGATATGGGGTGGTTTAATTGGTGAGTTTTCGCGCTGATAAATAAATGAATATTCATGAACCGATAATTAGGAGCACGTACGCGCGCGTACGCCCGCCATTTTTAAAAAAATACGCGCACGCGCAAACCGTTTTGCGCGGAATAAGATACGTGACTCATGTGCTGTACATACACCCGCGATACGCGTCGAGTGCACATAACCACCGAACAGAACTATATTGTGCGCTGCACGCATGGCAGACATACAATGTTTGCGGCGGGGTGCTCCAGCGCAGCACGCATCGACTTGCAACACGGCACATCGCAATACCAGAAAGCCATCGATGATCAGAATCAGCCTCCCAGTGCCGAAACAAAAACTCCTTGATTGGCATGACCTCTCGTGCACATCTGCACTCCTGTCATTCACCGGCGCTGCACCTAATTCGTGAAGACGGCGCCAGCAGCATAGCAACGCAAGAAAAACCACACCTTCCCAGTCGACAGTGTGTGTCATCACTGCACTCCAAGAGCACCGCCTATCCTACCAGCGACCTCGCCGGATAATTCTTCCAACTGGTACGTACGTGCATTCAGATGACCCGATTATAGCAGTACTACCCCAATCAATTACACAGCAAAAAAACTGAACGGGTGTCACAATTCACTTTGTACATGTTGTAAGTTATATCAGTTTGAACTATCGCTGTTTAATACGTCTGTATATAAAGTTGTCAGAGTTGTATAGACTTAAGGTTTTTTGAATTATTATAAAGCCATTCTCCTCTGCGTGCAACGCGACAGTGTAAATCTGATTTCGATGCCAAATTTTGCACGGACAACACTAATGACTTAGTTAAAGTTGAGTATGTAACAACACTGCACATACTTAATCATTGTAGTCAAAGCAACAGCAAGCTAGATCACCCTGTCTGTCATACTCTGCATACTAAAATGTGCTATAGCTGTAGCCGAAACCAAGCAACATGGCCTGATATCCTGAAATGAACTGGCACTGCTAGGCTAAAGACTTGGCGGAAGAATTAATCTTTTTGAAACACTTGATCCTGTGAACGCAGGACAACTATATTGGCCAGCCAGAAAAGGTGACAATAAAGACCAAGATTGCTGTTGACACAGAGGGTTTAAGACGCCGTATTGCGTTCAACCTATTACAAGAAGACCTTGCAAAGCCAGATAAACTGTGGGCACTTTTTAAAGACCAGTTGTGGATCAAATGTAAATGTCCGTATCAATAGGCTTGAACTTATGCGTTACTGACAAAAACAAAATGAAAACGCTTGACGAATTTGCCAATGGGTTTAGGGATATTAGGCCAATCATTGCAACGTGTTGCTGGCAGAACTCAATGAACGAGTAGTTGAGCTAGTTATTGCATCTACACCACTAGAGCCATTTCGTCAGAGCTTGCTTGAAAAGGCCCATGGCTGTAATTATGAAGCAATGCTCGAGTAGGGGTGCCGCCATGAGGCCATGGCTGCCAGTAACCAGTGCCTGCAGACACTCTCAAGCGAAACCACCGAGCAGGCTTCTTACTGTGACACGTGCAAAGTCTGCGGTAGCAAGGACACAATATTGCCGAAAAACCGAAACTCGGCGACGAGGGCGCTCTTAAAGCCAATCACATAGCAAGGGACGCCGACGGCCGCAGAGTGCATCCAGAAAGGCTAGTAATCGTAGCCTCTCCCATAGCGGAAGTGGTTCCAAAGACAGATACCTCACATGTAGCAGTAAGAACAAGAGTACCTTGAGGATGACCAAGCTGTAGTTGATTTGCCGTCCGAAACATTCAGCTCCACTACCTTATCAGTATCAGACATGTGCACAACAAGCAAGGACGAGGACCAGCCGAGGCCTTTACCAGACTAGATGACATATTGTGATCTGTCCCGATCGTCTCGGGCAACACCACCATCACGTTCATTGACAAAGGGAGAGTGCCAATACCTTACCAGTTCGCATCACGCGCCTAATATGAGACAAGTACAGAAACCAACTCTCCCCATCCAAACCAATCCTAAGGCATACATCCGAAATCACCTGCCACGGCTAGATATACCTTTGTGTTTACACGGAAAAGCAGAATGACTGGAGTCGTGAGATGTTATTTGTGGTAGACGAGACAGATCCTGTTATTGCTTGGCTCCCTAAAAGCACTGGCACACATGTCTCACAGCCTCAGGTACCGCCAGGGTCCCCACAAGAACCGAGGGATGATCCTAACACTCCGGTGAGGACAAAAAAGACCTGTGGGAACGGTACCCAATACAGTTTGACATACCCTGGGTAGGCGCACATTCGCCTACACCTCAAGCTAGATGCTGCGTTCACATCAAACCCAAATTACAAGCCGAGCTGAGCAAGAAGGAGAACAACTTGGTCGTAAGAAGGATCTCCCAACACTTGGACTGGTGCAGCTCGATTAACAACAGCTGTTCAAAAAAGACGGCTCACTCGGGCTGTGTCTCGATCCAAAGCAACTTCTGAAAACAGTGTCCATATAAGATCCCCTCTCGAAGAGCTTAATTCAGAATTTACACAGGCAAAGCAGGATATTGGTCCGTCCACCTTGTAAAGGAATTCAAGGAGCTGACTAAATTTAAAACACCATATGGCCGCTACTGCGCTCGTCGCCTACCTTTCGGCTTATCAGTGATGCAGGATTATAATGAATGGACCGCATCATAAAAAGCCAGGTGCCTGAATGTGTTGGAATCGCCGATGACGGTCGGATAGAGCGGGAGAATGACGAGTACCTCATTGCCCTGATGAAAAGCATCACTAAGAGAGGTCATCAGTTTCTAAATGGTGTGTATAATTAAATCTTTATTATGATCTACTCTGATCCGTCTTGTCGCTGGTAACTGGGTATGATGAAAGAGTCTTAACTGGGTAATATGAAAATAACATACCAAATGTTCCCTTATGACAATGCGGAATTTCATTGTTTGCTTGATATAACTGTTGTCAAAATTGAAGTTGCATTATCTCATACGGTAACCATAAAGCCATTATGGTGGTTGGCCGAGTTTAATAGTTTCCGAATCTGTATCCTTGATTCCTTTTAAAAAGTCTTGACATGTTGATCAAATACAGTATTAAAAGTGACTCCACAAGGAGGAGGCATCGTTTGAAATAACATTATATAATAACCTAGATGGCAAATTGCTAATTACCCAAGCGGCAATACTTTATACAATAACAACCCTCCCGATCATGATTATGTGAACACAATCAATGTCCACCACAGAAAAGCACTAAAACAACTGTGAAAACGTTTCAATGTTTAATTCAATAGCATTTATTAAAAGCAATTACATTAGATGCAACGTGATATAGTCAGAGGTGCCGATTGTTGTAGAGACAAATGGATTTCTTGAACCCAATGTTAGCTTCTTTGAAAATTTTAAAGCAAGAACTATTGCCAAACCAACATGTAAATGGACAAAGTACAATACAACAACGCGCACAAAATGTTAAAGCTGCTTTGCCTGAATATCACTTGTACTTAATACATCAAACTAGTTCTAAAATAAGACAGCCTGCTCTGAAAATGGTTCATGCTATTAATCTACTAGTACTAGGATGATTTATTTGGATTTTTTTCTGGGCCGGGAGAAGGGCACATGGTGTTCCCATTTTTGTTTTCATATTTGACAGCCGACTTTCGTAAATTTTTGCAGGAATGTTGGTTGGCTGATAATCTACGAGGTGATTTCGTTTGGTTGCGCCTCAGTGACAAAAAGAGGACGTTTTACTGTCTTGTGCCCATTCTTGGTCTTAAACAGTACGTATATGGAATAATTTAAACAATCAAACGTTTTTTATATCAAGGTTGCTTAAAATCATTCTTTTGGTCAATAGGCATCCGATTACACAACTTTTGGCATGCAAATATACCGCTAGAGGACGCTATACCCATATGGAGGCAACATCGTCATTTGTTGTAAATTTGATTTGGCTCTGATGAAATACCTGCATTGCTTAATATTTAACCATGCAAGAACTGTATAAAAGAAGTACCACCCAAAAAGAGTGGGAAGAATAAGAAACTTTTGCATAAACTGTGAAAATTAAAACGGTTTTTCGTGCCAATGGCGGCGATAATGGATTCCATGCATGCATTGCAGTTGGTCACGTGACCATGGTATTTAGTCTAAAGTGGATAGTTGGTTCGGGCACAGAAATGGTTTACTTACAAATGCTTATTTCCATGTTTTTATAAAAAAAAATTTGGCATGCACAATATTCATCACCGATGAAGGTAAGGAAAAGTCACTAAAATGTCATGCCGATCAATTTAATCGTTCTAGAGCTAGAGCTAAGAAGGTTGTTGGGGGGGGGGACACATGCACTCTATACCCCCCCCCCCCCGGTCCGATAGGGTTAAACAAAGCAATACAGTTATATGTTTGATGGATTTTCATTTGATGGATTAACAGAAAAAGAATAAAGCAAAGGCTCTCCTAACTTTTAAGAATCAAACTAAATCCAACTATTTCGAAGTGAGCATTATCTATTGTCATCCCTGAATGTGTTAATCAGAATGTTAATAGCTATTATTTAGACAAGGACGTTGAGCGCCCGTCTCTATCTAAGTGTTGAAGGACCTCAAGCAATTTAAAAAACAATCAAAATTGGCATTTCGCCGCGGAGACTCACCATCTCTTACTGTCTCACAGCGGCGAGTTTCTATCGCTGAAAAAGTGACTCTCCGTGGCGACCTTCTTTCTCGCCGCGGCGAGATATTAAGTTGCCGCGGCTAGATAGTAGGTCAAAGCGGCGAAATACTAATTATGATTTTGTTTTTAATTAGTTTGGCCCCTTCTACGGTTTCGTATTTTCGTTATTAAAACTAAGAGTGATTGATAAAAATCTCGGGATGTTATCCTGGAATTAGATTGATACTAATTGAAACTCAGCTCTCCTGCATTCGCTTCTTTCGGCTCCATATAATAACTGATTTCAAAGAGCTGAATTCAATCTGAAATAAAAGGTATAGGAAAAATTACCATTTAAATATCATACAACGGGTTTACAGGCGATGAACCACCTCCACCCGTAGGAATCATGCGGAAACTCAAACATTCGTCACAGGTATGTTGAAATTAAGCTGATAACTTTGATCAGTTAAATGCTAGGCTCCGCGCGCGATGATCACGATTTGTTATTTTAAAAGGTCATCTTCAGTCGCTACGCCACAACTTACTCAATCTGAAATGATCTGAAATCTGCAAGTAACGCCATAGTTTGTTGCGCCAGTCGCAGAGTTTCTCACCATGAAACTGTCGTGGAATATGTCATGCACGCATGTGCGTTCCTTCCTGACGTTAAGATCGCGCAAGGCATGATGGAAAAACAACATGGCGCAGCGAGAGCATACGCACCATGGAAACTTACGCAACTAAGGGCCCTGTCACACTTCTGCGTATCCTAATTCCTTATGAGTTGCGCATTGACTTTTTTTTCATACGCAGTCGTACGCACAATACGCACCTCATATGCATCTCTATCGTTTTATGTAAGTTTTATGTACGCAGGTATACGTATGGTACGGCCAAGTACGCTGGATAGTTTTGGGCATGCGCAAAACTACGCTGCGTACGCTGTTACGCAGGTCATAAGTTATCAATACGCAGCGCATCGGTCCCGCGTCGGTCGAGCGCGGTACGAGTACGCTATGTGTTCGTGAGGGATAAGCCGTTCATGCGCGGCAATACGCTGACCTCCTATATTGGACGTATACATAGCGACGTATTGCACGAATTAGTATCGCTCGTCCTGCGAGCGGGCAGCGCATTCTACTTATTCGTAACTTATGAGAAACGCACAGATGGCGAACTTGCGCACTGCATACGCAACTCATACGCATCTCATAAGCAGTGGATGCGCTGAATTCGTTACTTGTTCGCTAGATGTGCGTCGCACATATGTCAAAGTAATCAAAAAATTTCGACGTTTTTGATAGTACGGCTGCGTATTGAAAATTGTTGATAAGGAACTCATAAGGAATTGGGATACGCAAAAGTGTGACAGGTGCTTTACGCAGTGAATTGTGAAGGTATGCCATTGCGTAAAGTTTCATGAAATGGGCTCCGCCTGGTTATTTACTTGGATATATATTGAATTCATCCAACTCAAGTATTACTGCTTTGCATTCGCTGTTGCGCATGCGTCTGATTTGCATATTTTTCGCTCATTTAATTAGATCACGCCCCATTCCTTTTCGTTTTCTGTACTCTCAAGGTACCGGTACGGCCTTGGTGCACGGACAGGTAACGTGTGGAGATGGCTATACGTAAGACCATACTCGGCTGCAGTGGGTTGTTCCACTTTGTACTTGTTATATGTGCAATAAGTTTAATAATCGAAAGACTGACGATTGTAAAAAGGCGAATTGTTTCTGATTTAAAGGGGGATTATAAAATGCAACCAACCATCGGTATTTATTTCATGGCATTAATTTGTGAGTTCTTTAAGAATACCTGAAGTGGAATCTCCAGACTAAGGTTTTTGTGAATCTGGGGCCTTGTTTCCACCTCCAGTAGCACCTGTATCATGGAAACAAAGAACAAGTATACAAACAGAATCGAATGACCATCATGAATCGAACACCAAGTGAATTGCTAGAATCGCCCAAACACTTGACTACTTCAATTTGGCATTTGAAAACCGTATAGAAATATTCCTCGCTCCTCCTTTATTCACCCCCTCGGGAGCTTTTGTTGGTATACACTTTAAACTTTCAACACATATCGACTCTGACCTGAGGTGTGCATGCTACTCTGTCATCGGGTATGAAATGACTACAGATTTTAGTTCACAAAATGACAATTTGTATTATCTATAAGTCATGATGAATCATTTTTGTCGTGTACATGGAGTTGCTTGACCTTGACCTACGGTGGTACCGGAATTGCAATGAGGATTGAATATCACTTGAAAACGGAAGGATTTGTTTGTTCATTTATATAAATTATGCAAAGGATTAGTGAGGAATGCAAAAGACAGAAATTGGCTTTGTGAAGTCATAACTCGAAAGGGTGCCCTTTAGTGGCACCTGAAAGATATTTGAGACTTTAGAATTTAAAACTAATTCGTCAGAATTTACAAAATTGGCCGTAGATATTGTCTTTGAACAACCGCAAATGCCTTTGCGTGGTTTCCAAATCATGACATCATCAGACTAGTCGGGTTCGCTATGTTAAGAAATTAGCAAACATACATTTTTAGAATCTTCATAGCAAGGAGAATCGGAAAATCAATGTTGGCATTTGCGAAGAAACCTGCATGGCGGCCATCTTGGATTTTCAAAATGGCCGCCTTGAAATACATTATTTGCGCTGTTTTTGGCTTCTAGTCAACAAAAAAATAATAGTTTAAAAGGGTAATCATATGTTTTCTGGGTCAAGGAATCTACTAAAAGCCTTACAATAGTGCTCAGGATTATAGTGAACAAAAAAAGTAAGCAAAAACCATTTTCCTTATATTTGTAATATATGCCAATCGTATACGCCACTGAGTGGAACAATAATATTCCGCTTACATTTTCTGATCTACAAACTCCTTATCTTACAGGATACAATTATAGAAAGTTTTTGTAGGGAGAATTTGAAAATGATATATTGTCCTTATTTTATTATACAAAGCCATCATTTGATCCGTTATGAAGTTGCTCGTAGCACAAATAATGATGCCATCTACAATGTTCATCGAACCGGAAGTTAGGTGTTATCGATAGATACATTCGTTGTAATCTTTATTATTTTCTGATCAGAAGTTCTTTTCACTTAATGATGAAGATGTATGCCGTCTGAACTAAATCAATATTTCTACAATATTTTTAACTGATGACGTTATCAAACCGGAACTGACAGATACGTGAAATAAAATGTGTAATGATGTTAATCAGACCCAAAGAAATGCACTGTTTTCAAATTAAAGCACACGGTTTCGCTTGAAAAGGCAGCATGTCTTGATTTTTTTTTTTCTGTTCTGGCATAAAAAAAAATATTCACATCTTCATGTCCAACGAAATTGCCTACCCGATCACCATGCGTTTGTAGCTCAACAAACGCAAATCTATAGTTATGAATTAGTAGTTCTAATTGCCCTGTGGACAATTCCAGTGTTTAAAGGAAGGAAATGTTATGTCCAAGATGGAGCCAACTAACCACGATATCTAATTATTAGTTCAGAGAAATTATCCAACACTCTGTAAAATTTTGTAATTTGATTGACCATTACTAGATACCGGATACATATTATTTGAAAATACAATAAAGCTCTGTCACAGACATTTAACAATGATGAAATATCGCCCCCATCCCTTAGTGGTATATAAAAAAAAAAGGCCCGAAAGAAACTTAAAATTCGTATTTACCTGTAGGCGGCGGAGCGTTAGTGACATTGAAGGTAACTTGACTTGACCCAACAATGGTAGGGTTGTAAGTACCCTTAACAGTGTCGATGTTTGTGACATGCGCACCTGTTGATATTAATTCATAACGTATGCTCATTGATATTTCTAAAACAATTCTGTGTTTTAATTTGCTCAAAATCATGTTAGTGGAGGTTACTAATTTGCTAATTATCAAATATCGAAGTGAGAGGGCAGATACCTGTTCGAAAGCCATGGGAACAACGTTGAGTCTTGACACTTTGATCAAGTTAAAACACATAGATGTGTACGAGATTTCTCCCAAGATGACGCTATTGTGACAACTATACGATTGAAAAGCTTTATGCACTCAGCTTAGTCTGAGGTAGTACAACACTCATTGGTATTGTTTGTTTTCGTGCTACAGATTATGTACTTGTACTCGTTGCGGCTGTGAAGTGCTGATGCCTTCAAGTCACATAAAAATAACAAAAAGGCAAGTTCCGCTTCTCTGAACCCCCCCCCCCGCAAGTGTCATCAGTATACTCCAAAAGAGGTCGTAGTTCGATCTTCTTTCTTGGATCCTCGGCATTACTCACCTGTTGGTGCCTGGGGTGCCTTGGGCTCCTCTTTTTTCTTGTCATCGTCCGTCTGCCCCTTCTCACAATGTCCACTCATGGTTCTTTTTTTAATTACTCCTTAACAAGCCCTGCAAGTAAATGTAAAACATTTTACTCTTTGTATACATTTTCAACCAAAAACCACTGGAAGACAAACAGAATGAGCAAAACTGCTATGCGTAAGCAAATACAAAACCATATTAGCACCAAAAAAAAGAGCTCTTGGACTCCCCAAAACCTGCATTTTGTATAAAGCAGACGTATTCATTATGCAAAGTAATAAAAAACCAAGTTTCTCGTCCCCGCCCGCTTCCTTTTTCGAGGCCGCCTGGATTTTTTTATTATTTTTGAAAAATGCAGTAAAAACACTGAAAAAGTCCACAAATTCATCGGAAAATAAAATACTTGCGAAATTTTTGAGTCGAAGTTTTCAGTATAGACTCTGTCGGTCACTTTGAACACCACATAATATCTACGTGTGATCACTACCCCTGCGACAGTGCAAGCATGGCGAGTTCACAACAACTCACCCATTTGGTTCCCAGACCAAAATATTCTGACTATTCGTGATGAATCTACGCGCCCATGGAGTCGAGGCTGATACGTGAGCATCAGGAATAATTGTCAGGTCTATGGAACCAGACTACGTACATGTATGTCTATTGGTAGTTTTAGAATACAGTCGTTTGAAAATTCAACCGTAATCTGTCTGCCGTACTGTATGCGGTAAATGCTGACTTCAAAGCCAGAATGGAACCGGTATGAGACTAGCTCACGCTGGAGCATGTGTTTAAAGAATTTGCTCGCGACTTTTGGCGGTTAAAGCAAATGCACCCACATACAGTCTACTGGAAGTTATAAATTGTTTCCGTAATCCACAAACCTACTTCGATTGGAAGTCAGTTGGTATGTGTTTATTTAAAAGTGTTTGGGTATGGTACGCGTACATAGAAAATAATTATTCGAATACGGTAAAAAAAAATATGAGGTTTGAATGGTACAGAATCGATTTTAACCAAAATACAGTCAATAATTGTGGTAATTGTATTTACACAAATTCCATGAGGCTGTGATTATTTTGATCCCGCTCATCGATATAAAAAAAATACTGAACAAACAACTATATGCGTCCTGGTACATAAATGCATTTGGGATTTCCCAACGTGTAGTCGACTATTGTGAAAGGCAAACAAAGATCCACAAAGGTCAACAGGTGCATGGTATTCGACGATATTCAAATGCTCATGCCATGATAAGTGTCCTTTTTGGTTGTGTACTTGATAAGTTCAAAACGTGTTTTTTATTCCAATTTATGACACATTTGACTGGCTGGGTTAAGCACACAATAGTAGGTTGCGTACATGTCTTGATACGCTCTAGCAGGATTGGGGGGCAAAGTTCTTCTGTACGTACTTTGCGTGAACAGTTGGCTAATTGTTCATGATACACGGAATGGTTGTCGTTTGCCAAACTGCTCGTTAAGCACAGTATGTTTTCATGAAATATATACCTGCCTAACATTTTAAATGTTGGCGTTGGATGAAGTAAAAATAAACACGGTAGGCACTCGCACAAATAATTATAATTTTGAGTCGTTGACATAAACAAACAAACAAGCATATTATAAAAGCCATAGGTCTATTTGCTTATAAAACCACGATATTAATTGTAATATCTGTAGTGATAAAATCATGCTGTCTGTCAATATCAACATCTAGATTAAAGGGAATGTACATCTGTTCAATGGTTTTTGCTGTAATTTTCAGAAATGAACTATTTGAGAGGTTAGTATAATAGATCAAATATTATTACACTGACATTTTTGATGTTTGGTGTTCGAAAAGGTTGGAAAAACCAAGAAAAACAAAAATGTTCAAGTAGTCTGGTTCCCTGACTTCACAAAAGATAAAATGGATCAATTTATAGATGATGGAAAATTGTAAGGCAAGGGAACCAGTCTAGCTGGCCTGCACCCATTCATGAACATGTAACCGTAAACAAAATTTGGACTGAAAAAATGGTAAATTTGGAGTAAATTTGGAGCAGTAGTTGAAAAATAGTTAGGTTTTTCCAACGCTGGTCGGCCGACCACCGTTGGAAATGTTTACAAAAATACAATTTTCTTGAAGATGACTTCACACCAGGTGCTTTAATTTTACAAGATGCTTGAGACTGTCATTTACCAACATCCTAGTAAGGTATTTCGTAAAAACTTGGTAGTTTTATTTCTCGATGTTTGCAAATGTTGTATATTCCCTTTAAGAAATGTGTTTATTTGTTTATTGTTTCCTTGTGCATGCGAATGCTTAGAAAGCTTAATTGGTTGCCTAACGGTATAGCTAATAAATCCATTTCGAGAGCTTTAATTGCATCATGTTTTGGTTTTCCTTAGAAAAAATATATACATGTTATTGTTGCGTGTATACACAAGTGCTGCTCTTGAAAGAATATTTCTTCAGCCTAGAATGATGGGGGGGGGACACTTGTGCTAGTTATTACAAATATATACATCTTGCGCCCTACTTTCATTATTATTACTTGGCTTTACGAAAAAAATCTGCGTTCGAACGAAAAAAATCTGCGTTCGAACGAAAAAAAATCTGCTTTCGAACGAAAAAAATCTGCGTTCGAACGAAAAAAAATCTGCGTTCGAACGAAAAAAATCTGCGTTCGAACGAAAAAAATCTGCGTTCGAACGAAAAAAATCTGCGTTCGAACGAAAAAAATCTGCGTTCGAACGAAAAAAATCTGCGTTCGAACGAAAATAATCTGCGTTCGAAAGAAAAAAATCTGCGTTCGAACGAAAAAAATCTGCGTTCGAACGAAAAAAAATCTGCGTTCGAACGAAAAAAATCTGCGTTCGAACGAAAAAAATCTGCGTTCGAACGAAAAAAATCTGCGTTCGAACGAAAAAAATCTGCGTTCGAACGAAAAAGTTGTTTGCTGTTTGCTGTAAGCTGTTTGCCCTCCCTGTGCTGCCCCACCACTTATGTGGGTGATTTGGTCATGTTTTTTTCAGGTCCAACATGCATGACATATGTGCCCAATGTAGGTCCGTGGCCCAAGTACAGGAATTTCAATAACTGGTCTAAAAGCAGTCTATGAGCTTTTAAACGGTCTTACTAGTTGGTCATGACGTTTGACCATTGCAATGAAGATCTAGCTAATTGTCATTCTTTTTTTAAGAGTCCCTATCCTGTTACAATACTAGCTACAACACACACCCCCCCTCCCCCACCCCATCAGTCCCACCCATTATGCTATGCTGAGGCAACACACTTATGAGATATTTTAAAAAGTAATTTGCCTTTTTGGTTTCTTTTTATAAAGTGAGGCAAGTTTAAAAACAAATAATTAAAGAAGGCTATATAATTATCTTTCAAATTTTTCAGGTAAAAAAATATAACTGGTCGTCATTGTGATTTTCAGAAATTTGTCTATCCACAAATCCTTTACAGTATAAATTTTCATTCCTAATCCTTGTAATAGTTCCAAACTTTAGAAGCGACTGACATGTATATATTGTTTGATCATTTCTGGCTTTCAATAAGCCTATTTTACTAGTCTAACACTTGTACATGTACATGTACTTTCTGCTTCCTCACTTTCAGATACGGGATTCACTAATTAGCTGATTCCTACTCATACTCATAGCAATTGACAAACATGTCGGGCTATTCTGATAGCCATGGCTAGCCCGACATGTTTTTTGGTGGCCCATGGATAACCAGTTAAATGTGGAGAAACTGTTGCACTTACAAGAGCATGATATGAGTCACATCATGATTGATACGTTTTACATGTTTGGTACAACAGTTTTCAGGGCAAAGAATGTTTGGACCCACAAAAATCACCCACATAAGTGGTGGGCAGCTTACAGCAAACAGCTTTTTCGTTCGAACGCAGATTTTTTGCGTTCGAACGCAGATTTTTTTTGTTCGAACGCAGATTTTTTTTCGTTCGAACGCAGATTTTTTGCGTTCGAAAGCAGATTTTTTGCGTTCGAACGCAGATTTTTTGCGTTCGAACGCAGATTTTTTGCGTTCGAACGCAGATTTTTTGCGTTCGAAAGCAGATTTTTTGCGTTCGAACGCAGATTTTCTGCGTTCGAACGCAGATTTTTTTCATTCTTACGATGGATTTTTTCAATTTTTTTTTCACCTATGTCCCTTTAAAAGCTCCGTAGATATTGCTACAACGTGGGGCAAGTAGTTTCATTTAAAAAGAACCGCTGCATTGTTTTTAATAGAACTATTACCAAGTTGTATGTAAAAGTGTTGTATTGCAACAGCAAAATATTCACAAGTCAAATTTAGCATCAAGTATTTCGGCTTCATCTTTTTTTGTCCTTTTGAAATCCAGTGATTAGGCCAACTTCACCTGTATCAGATTTATTTTGGTTGCAGAGGCTTTCTTTTTGTATAACTACTTTTATGCTTCGAAACGTCC